GTTGGATATGATTCAGGTGGACAACTTGCAGAAGCAATTTATATTTCGGTAAAAAAAAGGTCAGGAGTTGGAATCCTTAGGTCGTTCATGACTCGTGCAGCCGTGTAAAACAAAAGGATCTGTCAGATAATGTATGGAGTTGATTTAATAGACATTTAGTAGTGAGTGCTTGGGGTTGCTTTAGTAGACAATTATAGTGCATAGGTTTGATTTAGTATACATTTAGTAGTGTATACAGTTGATTTAGTAAAGAATTAGTAGTGTATGGTTTTGATTTAGTAGACATTTAATCGTGTGTAGCGTTGATTTTGTAGACAGTTACTATTTTATGTGGTTGATTTAGTAGACGTTTAATAGTTTATGGGGTGATTTAGTACACATTTAGAAGTTAAGGCATGAATTTAGTAGACATTTAGTAATTTATGGAGTTGATTTAGTAAACATTTATTAGTGTATAGGATTGATTAGAATGAATTAGTAAACTTGTAGTGGATTTATGGGGTGATTTAGTAGATATTGAAAGTGATTGAAAATGATATCGAGGCCAGATGATAGATGTCAAAATTTTGTGTGTAATGGTGAAATTAACCGTATTCACAGAGGAAACTTTTGGCGTTAATTGACTGAATATGTAACATTACTGTTTGTTGAAATTCATAGAGTCTTTTACTTCAAACTATTTTTTCAGGAAATTAACATTCTCCTTTAAATGTTATAGGTCTTTCTAATAGTGATATTATTAATATTTTCCTTTCCAGTTAGATGTGCTGCTAATCACACTCTCATCATATGTGAACCGACATTTATTTATACACTGTCTTCAGCAGATTAAATGATCTGACACAAAATAATATTAAAATTGTTTAAAGAGAAAGATTATTTGTTGCTCACCGAACTGATATACGATTTGCATAATTATAAAAGAGAGATAGTTTGAAATACTTAGATTTCTTAGATGTTGAGAGAAAATCTTTTGAAGTTCTTAGTTAAAGGCCGATAATATAATTGGCGAGTAATTTAACACTGGCGAAAACTTCAACGCTAGACGCAGTGACCAGAAACGAAACCTTTCACATGATTCCAGACACACTTCTATTATTAATTTAATTTTTTTTCTCCTCGATTTATATCAAGACGAATTTCGTATAGGCTCTCTACATTCTTTTCTTTCTTCTTCTTTGCTCAAAAGCTAATTTCGGTGAAGACAAGGTTTTCATTGGTCCAAAGAAAATTTCAATTAGGCTCGCGAATTTATTTCTTCCTTTTTTCAATAGATCGGTCAATTTATGTGAAAGTAAGGTTTTCATTGACCCAAAGTAAATTTCACATAGACCCACGGATTTATTTCCTTCTTTGTTCTCAGTCCCTCGAATTTGAAGGGAGTGGGTAAAGGGAATTATTATTTCCTACTCACTATTAGTCTGATGAGGAATTTTCTTCTTTAAATCCCAGAAATTTTTTTTAGTTTTTTTTATCGTGAAACCATTTTCACTCACTGATCTGAGAAACGGTTCTATATAAATAATAGTTTGGGCCTTTCTGAACGTGTTGGGCCTACATATGAGGAGGCTAGTTAAGGATATGTATTTTTTAGCATCTTACTGTGTTGGACAAAAGTAAATCTAGGACAATATTTCCTTTGTTCATTTTCTGTATTGTCTAAGATATCAGTTAAAACCATCATGATTGATTCTCTTGGAATCTCAGACCTTTGCAAATAAACTTCAAGAAACAATGGACAAAGGAAGAATCTAAAGCATGCAACAACATGGTCAGGTGTTTATGCTCCGTATCTATGAGATTCTTGACAAAATCTAAAGAAGAAGAATCAATATTATCGGTCCTGACCTGGCATCTCGTAGGCAATTACATTCCCACCTCTATAAAGTAAATTCTTTTTCTTTAAATACTTCATGGTAATTGAGTTTTCCTCTTTATTAACTCGGTTCCACGAATTTAAGCGCAGTACTAGGCTGTCAGTTAGGTCTCGGTATTTTACTGTGAAACCGTAAGTTCTATTCTGATATTTTCTTCCCTCATGCTTCTCACTTATGGAACTCTCTTCGAGACTTCCTGTTTTCCTGTTAACTACGAGCTTCAAAAACTTACATGCAATGTAATCTTCAATCGTAATATCCCGTCTTCTTGAATCCTGTAAGACTTTCTCGGTTTCTTTCGCTCTCAGTAACTCCTTGCGTCGCAGTGGCTTTATCACTTTGTTTGGGGTGAAATGATTAATAAAAAATAGCAAGGAGTGTATGGGAATAATGTGTGGCTTATCATTTCATCCTCAATGAGTCACGAGATATGAATCTTACTAGAGAAATGAAAGCAAATTCAGAAATGATTAAGGTGATTCTTGGGATCATTATCAGTGGCTTACTTGAAACAATTCTAAGGAACTTTAAAAAACAGATTGGACGAGAGGCACCTTAAAAAAGATGGTGATAGTGTGTATCCTTGTGTTCATAAAATTCTTTAAATAATCTAATTACAGTAGATTCCCTCATATCCGGAGTTTCTCGTATCTGGAATCCCGCATATCCGGACATGATTTTTATGTGCATATTTGAACCATTCGGGTGATATGTAACTGATTTTAAATTTCTGTTTTTCTAGAAATTTACTTTGGATAATTGCTTATGCTCATTTTCCCCTAATGGCTTCTATCGGTGCAAAAGATGATGGGAATAAGAGGAAAGGATGACAACGAGACATCATCTGCAACAAGATAGCGACGAGATGCAGGACTGTGATGAAAGCTGGACTGAAATTGAAAAAGCTATTGAAAAGGTCAGTTTTATGGAAAGAAAGCCAGCATTCAGCTATGACGATTGCAATAATAAAAAAAAAAAATCAAGAACAAAATCAAAACAAAATGGGGAAAAAGTTGAGCATGACATTAGAAGAGAAAGAATCATCATGCAACAGCGATTAAAAAAATCCTTGTTACGTTATTTGTTTTGCATACGTGGCAGACTTAATTTAATGAATTTTCATTAACATTAAATAATTTATTTCTTTTTCCTTAAAATCAATTCCGTTATTTTTCACTCACCATTAACTTATTTTGTTTACTATAAAACATTGAAAATAAATGTTAAACCTGATTTCATTTTTTTTATATTTTAATCTAAACATAACCCCCCCATATCCGGACTTTGGAACCAATTCCTCATATCCAGAAGTCTTTCTTAGTCAGGTTGTCATGGATTCTACTGAATATATTTCATAACTCCTACATTTTAAAGATTGACAATAAATCTAATGAATATGCTCTTGAAAAATATTTCACTGTTGTTAAAACAAAGGGCTACAGGTTTTATTCATTTGGTTTTAAAAATGGCTCCTCCAAATGGTGACCTCTGCCATAAACTATTGTCGACGATTTCCAAAGTTTTCCATCATCCGAAAAGCCATTTCTCGTGGTATTTTTGTTACTTTGTGGCGAGTAACATCCTTTAGTTCTTCAATGGTCGCTTGTCGATGATCAGTTTTCAAGTAACCCCAGGGAAAATAATCACAGGAGGCGAGATTGGACGAGCGTGGAGGTCATCCAATGTCACCGTGTAAGGAAATCAAATGTTCGGGAAATATCTAACTCAAATCTTCTATTGATCTACTCGCTTCGTGTACGGTAGCTATATCCTGTTGAAACCACATACATGGATTCCTAATGTCTCAGAGTTTTGGTTCCAGAAAGGTCAGCAGCATCTTCACATCCCGGTCAGATGTTATTGTAACCTAGTAGTCACCTTTTTCAAAAAAGTAAACCAAATTTCGCAACTTCGCACGTAACAGCCACTTGTTCGCTGTGTAGAGATCTTTCCTGAAGCTCTCTTGGGTAATTTTCCGCCCAGTAGCGAAAATTTTGCTTATTGATAGCAGCCAGAGAAATGGAAGTAAGCTTTCGGACTATTATCCTCATCCTTGTCGCCATATTTACCACAACGTTTCGACCGTTTTACGCTCCGGCCTTCTTTAGGCGGTTGGAATGTTGAAATGAACCCTTTATTTCGCTCACTGGGGTAGACTGTTCTAGTTCCACGTGCCATGTTTAATGGATGTCTGTTATCAGTTATCTCCTGTTAATTTCCCTCTCAAACGTCGTGATAAATATGGCGACAAAAATGAGAACAATGGTCCGAATAATGTAAGTAGTTTACATAATACGTCATCTCAGGAATATAGACAGATACTAAAGGGCCGAAAAGTTGTAATAAATATGTCGGCAAAGATGAGGACAATGGTCCGAATAATGTAACTAGTGTACATAATACTTCATCTCAGGAATATAGACAGATACTAAAGGGCCGAAACGTTGTAATAAATATGGCGACAAAGATGAGGACAATAGGTCGAATAATGTAAATAATGTACATAATACCTCATCTCAGAAATATAGACAGATACTGAAAGTAAGCTTAATCAATTGTTAGAAAATCAGTAAAGGTCACAGCGTTCTTTCTTTTTCTTTTATGTGTTATGTCGCTTCAAGACGTAGGCGATCATGGCCCTTCACATCTTCCTGTCCGTTGTAGTTCTAAATGAGTTTTGTCTTTTTTGTTATTTCTCCCAAACCCTGTTCTAGCATCCATTTACACTATTTCATCAAGTATATGCTGCTTTCCTTTTGTTCCGATTTGCCTAAAATTGTCCTGTGTGTATCAGATTTTCTAAGCCTTCTTTCTTCATTACGTGCCCCCAAATTTTCAACTGCCTCTTCCTGATGTTAAGTTTAAGTTTCCTTTTCGTTCCCATTGTCTCTAAAAACTCGGCGTTTAGTTTATGATATCCTGAGTATCTTTTTGTAAAACTACATTCATCTTTGAGGGGTTTGTCCGGCATTTGCTGCCATATTGGAGGACAGATGTCGCATAACAGTTTATTCATCAGTTTTTGTTCGATAGATTTCACATTCGTTTTGCCTGGTCTCTTATTTTGTTTCTAACGAAATTTTTCTGTCACTTAATACTCTGATTAGATTTTGGAAGGCATCTTCGGACATCTTTAGGATGTCCGAAGATGCCTTCCAAAATCTTTATTTTCGGATATCAGTGTCGAACTTTCTGTCCTCTGCTGGAATACTTCCCAGATATTTAAATTTTTGGACTTGTTTAGTATTCCAGATTTGAAATTTGCATTTTGGAACTATTCTTTTACTGGGAAACATGCATTTTGTCTTCTTGTAGCTTATACTTAGTCCTTTCTTCTCGCTTTCTTTCCCTACCTTCCGTTGGGGTTGTAGTTTCCTTTATGCATCTGATATTAACACTGTGTCATCTGCATATCTTAAAAGCTATTAAGATTTTGACCGCCAATAAGGAATCCAGGTAGGACTTCTAATTCTCTGAGAATCACCTATCTGAATAGGTTGAATAAATCCGGTGAGAAGATGCATCTTTGTCTTACACCCCTTTTTATTTTTGCATATCTGATGAACTCATTTTCTGTCCGTATGCAGGTGGTGTGCTGCCAGTAGAGGATTCTGATTATTCTAATATCATTTCCAAATTTGTCAAGGTTTCTGAGCAGCACTAACAGATCTTTGGGCCGTATTTCATCGAACGTTTTTGCGTAAACTATAAAACGCAGGCACACGACATTCTGCATTTATATTACACTTTCTAATAACATTCTGAGCATAAATATGACATTCCTTGTTCCGGTGTTTTTGACGAACCCGCACTTTTCTTGTCCTATCTCCGTTTTGATTCTGTTGCGTGCTTTATTCATCAGTTTTGTTCGATGGATTTCACATTCGTTTCGCCTGGTTTCTTAGGCAGTGCTATGAAAATAGATCTGCTTAGGTCTTCCGTTATGCAACTACTGTTGTAGATTTCTTTTTTTATTTCTAGGATATTGTCTATGTCGAAAGCATCTAAGGTTACCAGTATGTCTATTATAATTCCATCTGGCCCTGCCACTTTGTTTCTGTTCAATTTGGCCAATGCAGCTTCCACTACGGTTTTTAATATTTCCGGTACATCGTTATATCTCTGTATTGTCAGTTGTTCTCTTTCGTCATGGAAGAGTTCTCCGCTATTCTCGTTCCATCTCTGAAGTATTTTTTTTTACTAACATCAGCATTCCGTCTTTAGATTTTATGCATCTTATTGATGAGCATGTCTTTTGCCCTGTTAGTTAAGTCGAATTCTTTTAGTTCCCGAACAATCATTAATTTGCATGGATGGAACTTCAAATCGGTGGGTAAAGTTATTTTGACTACTCGATTAGACAATTCCAATGCAGAAGCATGTTTACGGGTTGAACGTATAGAAGATTACTGAACAGACTGTCTCACAGCCTGGGCATTTTCTGAAGTTTGAGCGTTTTGAGGTCTTCCAGGTGGCTTTCATTTAAGCACTGAACCTGTGACCCTGAAATTTTCAACCCATAGCAGAATCGATTTTCTATCCGGAATAGCATCACTCTGACGTAACATGAAACGAGCACAAAAATCGCTCTGTGTTGCCATTACAAATTCACCAGTCTTTAAAAAAAAAAAAAAAAAAACTTCTCAAGAGCAAAGACACGGTGTGTATCTGTCCAAGTCATGATGGTAATTGATGATATCTGAAAAAAGTTGTACGCCACAAACTAGATGAAAACACCATTTTTACTAGTTCGCTAGCACTACTGAAATGGCATGTTAAAATGTGGGAGGTATTTCTGCCGCACTATATATAACAACTTTATATTTTTGCTCTCATTTGTTGATCAGTAAATATATTCACCAAATTTTTCATTCTTTCTTCCTTTAGCATTAGTGTCTTTTCTTCTTTCTTTCTTTCTTTCTTTCTTTCATACACATTCTTTGAATTTAGCCTTATTCACTCTTATCAATATTGTCCATTTGTCTATTTTCATTTTTACGTTAGACTGAATTTCATTTTTTGCTTAGTTATTTAATATTCATGATATTATCATAACTCATTATCTATCTACCTATCTATTTCACTAGCTTCAGATCTGTCGTTATCTATCCAGTCTGTGAGGTTCTTTCTTTCTTTCTATCCTTGTTTTTTCTTTTTTCTTTCTTTCTTTCTTTCTTTCTTTCTTTCTTTCTTTCTTTCTTTCTTTCTTTCTTTCTTTCTTTCTCTGCAGTTTCAGCTCTAACTCTGTCTATATATCCACTGTGTTAATTTCTTTCTTTCTTTTTTTCTTTTTTCTTTCTTTTTTTCTTTTTTCTTTCTTTCTTTCTTTCTTTCTTTCTTTCTTATTAGCTTCAGCTTTGTCTCTATCCATTTTGTTAATTTCTGCTTTTCTTTCTATTTTTTTTAGATTGTTTGGTTGTTTGTTTGTTTGTTTATTTGTTTGTTTGTTTCTTTCTTTCTTTCTTTCTTTCTCTGCAGATTCAGCTCTGACTCGGTCTATATATATATATTCATTGCTTTAATTTCTATCTCTCTATCTCTGTCTCTGTCTCTGTCTCTCTATCTATCTATCTATCTATCTATCTATCTATCTATCTATCTATCTATCTATCATGTCAGTTAGTCATTTCTCGCTGTTTTGTGTCATGTTTTTTCCCATTTAAAAACGGATTTTGACCGCTTATCCCGCCCCAAACCCCTAGTAATTTTACTCATTTGCAACTGCGTTGCCATGACAACATTATCGTCTTAACAAATTTTCTAATATCTGGGGATTAGCTTTCATCTCAAGGTGGCAAACTTTGAAGTGTTCATAATTAGGTTGACTGCTTAGAAAGAATAGGGATGGCTAGCGAATTGAGAGAACTTTATGGCACCTAAGAACAAAATTATTCGCGCCATGGCCTTTGTCTCTAATCAAAGGGTGCGGGGGAGGGCTGAATAGATAGATATATATAGTTTATACGTAAATACATTTATACATCCAATGCAGCTGCAGGAACTTAACGTAAGTTGTGAAATTAGTGCACTATTTAGCATGGATCAGATGGAATACATTTGTACTTTAGTATTAAATATTTATTTTTTGTTTAATAAATCGTTTATGTTTTGAGAAAAAGTTAGATATAATTGTATATAAATAAAAAGGTGAATACATGATATATATATATATATATATATATATATATATATATATAAATAAATAGATATACACATACAAACATATATATATATACATATGTATATATATGTATATATTCTTTAATTGATAATAATTGTATATATATATATATATATATATATATATATATATATATATATATATATATATATATTTATATTTTTCAATTTAAGGTGCAATTATAATTTATAAATTCATGAATCATTCATACAAAAAACAAATATAGAGGTTAATTATTTAAATGGCGAGAATACATCTTCAAAACAATATAAATAAGATACACCAACCCCGAACCTGTATATGAATGATATGATCCCTGTTTATAAATTCCAGTTGCATAAGGTCTTTTTAATTTTTTACAAGCTTTCGTCTGTTCCTAAAGACATCCTCAGGTATGGGAATAGATTTTGTTCTTGTTTTTACTTGGAATTTATAAACGGGGATCATATCATTCATATACAGGTTTGGGGTTGATGTATCTTATTTATATTGTTTGCGACGAAGTATTCTCGCCATTTAAATCATTAACCTCTATATTTGTTTTTTGTATGAATGATTCATGAATTTATAAATATATATATATATATATATATATATATATATATATATATATATATATATATAAAGTGGAGAGGGAACATTGAGGTCAACACCCAGAGGTACCAGTCTGTTTCATACACAAACACAATCGTCAAGCTATATCTGTTGCGGTTTGGTGAAACTATTTCTATATGCTAGTCGGTGGTTATGAGTAGGTCTCTGATTATATCATTGAGTTCTACCTGGATTCTATCCTCTTGGAATTTTTTATTCAAAAAATATACATGTATGTGTATGCACCTATGTATATACATTTATATATTTTGCATATGTATGTGTATATTTACCACTAATATTAGCTATATATATATATATATATATATATACAGAATATATGGATATATGTACATACAAAAATAAATATTGTCTAGAATATATATATAATAATCTATATATATATATATATATATATATATATCCAAGGTAGGATAATATAGATATCCAAGTGTAAGGTAGGTTAATTGCAATGTCCACGCAAATTTTAAAAAAAAAGTGCTCAATACAGAATAGAGCTTAAAAATATGTATTAACTATTATAACAAATACATGTAATAAACTGCTACAAAAATGCAATCCTGTTTCAGCACTATAGGTACTCTTCTTCAGGCGGTGGTGCTATTTAACTGGAGAGTAAACGATCCTTCTATGCTTTAAAAGTAGCAATACCCTAAGGGGAAGGGCAAAAACTAAATGTCTAACATGCGAGGAGGCGACCTAGATTAACCAATCAAATGTCGGACCTATGTTAAGTTCGAAGATATTTTCCGTATTGGATTCCTATTGACTGCACAAGTTATTTAAAATCAAGGTTGGATTTTAAATTTTATTCCCCGACTTATGAAAATGATGAGATGTAGATGCCTATATTCATCGAAATAAATTTATCGCGGACAATGGATTTTGAAGGTGTTGTGGATTCCGAGATGAGATTCGGTCTCCAATTAATGACAAACACAAGAATTAAATATAAGAAATGAAATTTATTTACACAATAGTACAATAGGTAATACTGTTAGTAAATCCAGGAACGCGATTAGTCGCAATAATAATAATAATATATATATATATATATATATATATATATACAGTCTCGAAGTAGGACTTCCTTAGAGTCTACGTGCTTGTAACGGACTTCTACAAGCAGTTACCTCACACTATTACTCTACCTCCAACTCAATCACAATCTCTGCTCACTCTCACTCTCTCTATATTCTGACTGACTGTGGGTATTTAATGGCAGCAGTCTAAGTAACACTCTGGTCGTCCACTTATATGAAAAAAGGGAGAACCCCATAACAGAAGTTTTTTCCTAATTATTAATTTTTTTTTCTAAGAGTACATATACATATGTATGTATATATTTTTCTCTCTCTCTCTCTCTCTCTCTCTCTCTATCTATCGGTCTATCTATCTATCTCTTTCTCTCTCTCTCTCTCTCTATATATATATATATATATATATACACACACACACAGTGAGAGAGAGAGAGAGAGAAAGAAAGAGAGAGAAAGAGAGAGATTGAGGCACAGTGGAGTTATGGATAGCGGCTCAGATTGAGGAATCGGAGATCCGAGTTCGAATTCCAGTCGAATCCATTACATTCACTTACGTGCTAATACCCTTGGGAAAGGTATTAATCATCTTCTTCTCCCCTCCAGCTATGGGTAAATAGCCCGACAGACTAGGTTCTATAGTCTTGCTTGGCCACTGGTCTAGGAGAAGAACAACTCCGAATTCAAAACCTGCGGAGGGTCGTTTGGGGACCTTGTGGCACTTAGTGCACCAGGTGTCTGTATTCGGCCCTTCAAAAAGTGTGAATGGTTCTGCACAAAGCCTTCACCACTATAGCCAAATCATATGTGCTGGTGCCTGGCTGTCGGTTCCTAGGAATTGATCTGCTTGACCTTCATTCGTCTAATTCGACGGGAGAGTTGAGTATATATATATATATATATATATATATATATATATATATATATATATATATATATATATGCGTCAAGTATAAAAATAAGTGTATAAATATTGTTCTTATTGTTGTATTTACGGATTCAGCCATTTTCTTGTACGTTGGCTTAGGAATATTTCTGAAGCAGGCATTTATAAAATAAGTTGCCAAAACTGTCCCTCCCAATATATTGGAGAAACAAGCAGAATATTTCAAAAACGCATCTATGAGCACTAAAGACATCTCAGAAATAACAACGTAACTAATGCACTAGTCGTACATAGAAATAAATTCAACCACAATTTTGATTTTAATAATGCCACACTCATAAAAAATGAAAATAACTCACTCAGAAGGAGAAACCTCGAGAGTGCCGCTATTGAATATTATCCAAATATTAATCTACACCCAGGTTTTTTCCCACTATCACCTTTCCTAACAGAATTATTACTCTCCCAAGCCAGCTTAAATAACTATATCAAGAAATCAAAAGAAAATTGTCGAATCTGTCAACACAATAATATATAAATATATATATATATTATTACTTAAGGCCGAGGCACTGAAAGATCGACATGATAAAAGCAGAAACTCCTCAAAAATTCTTTCTAAACAACTGAAAATTGCCGCACAAGAACTACGTAATCACCCTGACATTATTGTAAAAAAAGCTGAATCTCTACAAATATTCTTAAATGTCTATAATTTCTATAATTGGTAACAGAAGCCATTGGTTTATACCAACGGCTTTCCTTATTTCATTCTCCAATTCACTCTCGTGTAGTCATGTGTGACGTCATGAGATGCGGTGCGATTTTCGCTTCTAGCGTCTTATATGCGCGTGTTCATCGTTGCTTAGTGATCCACTATGTAAACTAAGCAATGACAGACTATCATCACTGTCGTGTCCGTATATTGTTTGATATGTTTGTAATTACATCTTTGATAATGGCTTGAGTAAGCCGAAAGCTTAGATTATATTAAAAAAATAATGGATAAATATTGTGAATTTCTTTTTCGGTTAATGATAATGTTATCAAACTTATCAGAAGATACGAAAAAATTTTATATAAAATAAATAGACAACACTTGTCTATATTATTTAATGAAACGTGTGTGTATACATATATATATATATATATATATATATATATATATATATATATATATATATAGAGAGAGAGAGAGAGAGAGAGAGAGAGAGAGAGGGGGTAAAAGTGTTAAATATCAAGGATAGAGTGTGCGATGTTATAAAAGTGGAAACTGAAGTCATCATAGAGTGGCGACAAACTGTTTAATCTTTGAACGCATCTTATTTTTGAGATGTATTTCATTATGAAAAACCCTAAATAGAAATTTCATTTAGATTTTGCAGTGTTAGTCGATGCAGTCTGATTTTTCCTCCATTCAGCGATCAGCTCATGTTCGGGATGCAAGATGTTATCTCCAGATTGGCTGGCTTTCGACAGCAGAGATCATCGTTGACGAAAGGGTTGAGACTTGCTTAAAAAAAAAAAAATGGCCTCACACAACCAGCCATCAGCAATTATCCAAGGAATCGACCATGGAAGAGATCAACTGAACCAATAAGAAAGAAAAGAAATAGACAAAATGAATGAAAGACACACGATGGTAGTGTTATGAATTTTAAGACGCTTTCTGACAGAAATGTCAATTCGTAACGGCTATCAATCATGTGCCTTGCGCGACATAATCAGATGACCGGCACCAGGGGATTACGGACAAAACGAGAACTTGTCCGCTTCCTCATGAAAAACTCGAAACCAACCACTGTTCAGGCATCTGTCTGGGACCCAATACGTAAACTTATGTCGTAAAACTTATGAAATGGAATAATGGACAAAATATTAAAAAAAAACACCACGAATTGATA